ATTAACCCATGCTTATTTAAAAAAATATCAAATTAAAGAATTCCAAATTTTTAAGGTTTTGTGCATGAAATTGTTTCTGTTCCTACAAAACAGTTAAACTTCATACATTCATAAGTGTTCAGAGTTCCCGGTCCACTAGGGGTCCCCGTAAACTTTGAATGGGACCGGTAAAATCTTAATTTTATCGGTCAAAATGTCCGATGATTTTTTTTTACAGACTGTTTAACGTTTACATATAATCTTAACAAAATCATTTAATTCAATTGTCCTGACAATAAACAAATGCAAAACTAAAGGAATGAAAAAAACGTCAGGGGCGCGCCAGATCTTGTTTAAATAAAATGTGTAAAATTGTCTACTATAAAAAGCTACATATTAAAATAATAATTTCCATAAGTCTGGGAGGAAAAACAGTTTTAAAAACACTGTCAAACAAATATTTTCCCTCTGATAAATATATGCACTCTGTAGTTCTGACAGTAAAAAAATGTGACAATCTACTTTCGTTTTGAAGGACGAATTTGCAGGGTTGCAAGAGTTGCCTGCTATTTCTGCTTGATTACAGACAATTTGTTACCATTTATTATTTTCTCTATAATTTAATCTATTAGCATGATAATATTAAACCAACTTCTGGATTTTTTTTAATGTATTTGATAGCATTTAAAATACATGCGCATTTTTCCCCTTTTCTAAAAATAGCGGACTGACTTGAATGTAGTAAAACGACAACAAATTCACTTAAATCATCATTTTCTGATTTTTCATGATAAATTTGCATATCTTTATATCATTAGTACATATTTTTAACTGTGTGGAGGTTATATAATAAATTTTAACTAGTCAGAAATATCGGACGTTTTCCAGGCTTTTTAAAACGAGTTTGATATTTTACGTAATATTTTTCCTGGCACATAAAATACCAAAATCCTAAATCCAAAAGAAAAAAGCCTGGAAAACAACATATTTATATTTCCCACTAATTCCAAACAATCAACCAAGAGTTGTCATGTTGCAAATTTTATTTTAAAAAATTTTTTTAAAAATCTGTCAGAAAGGACATAATAATTTTATACGATGAATTAAGCGTTGGTCATCACACGCCGTCGGCGACGTCAAATCCTGCATACACAGGCCTTATAGAAAATATTTTAATCATTTTTTTTTTTAAATCTGCATTTGCCATCTTTTTATTTACACATATTATTTATTATATCGACACAATTTCCAATCCTATAATATGTTAAATTTACATACGAAAAATTAATGTCAGGTAAATTTTACAACTGTCCGGTGAATTTTGAATATTTACAAGACAATTGTCCGACATATTTTTGACTAGTTTCGGGAACTCAGAGTGTTCTTTTGTTACATTCAAATATATGATAATTGAATTACAGTATCATTCAAGAAGAAATACATGTGCCTTACTACTATCTATTTTTTTAATAAGAAAAAATACACAAGCTTTAATTAAAAGACAGTTTAATGGTGAATTAAAAGTATGAAAGTTTATTTTAGTAAGTGTCAATAAAATCCATTTAAAAACTTCACTATCATATGTTCAGGTAATGATCAGCAGTGTAACCACCCCCCCCCCCCCTTCAATTAATCCTCGATCAACTAGTTTGCTGAAGCTTTTAGAGTCTGGTAAATTTTTAATATTATTTTTATAAAGCTGTCAGAATTTCTATCTAACATGCACACACACACACAAAATTATTCAATTGACCAAAGTTTTGTATTTACGCAGTTTAAAATCATTCTACACAACACAGGTGTCAAGTGCAGTAGAGCGTAACTAATCCCTATCGGTCGTCTCCTGATAGTGAAATTCACGAGATAATCATGCTATACAAAACATTTGTTTTGACAAAAATTGCAATTAGAGCTTCTACACGGAATCAAAATCTAACAGGTGTGAAAATACTGATAGCCCTGCATTAGCTAAGTCACATACTCTCACTGTAAATATTCAAAGTAATGATGAATTAATATTGTAAATTACAAAATGTAGCTTTAAGCTTGAATTTCTTTAAGTTTAGCTATGGAAAAACTATTAATTGTGATTTAATTCTTTTAAATTTTCAATCGTCGATCTTGAAAAATAAGTACAAACTGATCTTACATGACAATTATATTTTTTCCATTAACACAAACAGAGTTATATAATTTTATATACGTATCTAAAGGTAATTTGTTTAATTTCTTTAATAGGTGAATTTTATTATCGGGCACATAATTACACAAGCGAATGTGAAAAAAATGTGACATAATGTGTATTTTAACAACTGATTAAAATGTCCTGCACTCATTTATAAACATTGATTGTCATTTTTCAAATTGATATACCACTAAATTTTACAACCTAATTATACAACCCCATGTTGATTCCTACAAAGCCTACTTGCTGTGAAAATTTATTGCAGTGACATTGTTAATTCCATTTTTCCATTCTGATTTTCTCTCTATAGATTAAGGTACGATTACAAGTACATGTAAACAAATGTGTGAAGAGTAGATAAACAATTGGTACGTATCTAGAATGAATTCAGAGAGAGAGAGAGAGAGAGAGAGAGAGAGAGAGAGCAATTATACTACGAGACAGGATAAAATTAAAGCCAAAAATATTCAATTTGAAAAAATTTAAACACGGAAGATTTAAAAATTAATCGGGAGGGGCGGAACAGGCGTGAAAAATCCAGAGATTTTTTCTCCCGTCGGAAGAATCACATGTATTTATGTTATGAGATATCTGCATGTATTTACCATAGATATAGAGAAAATTCGAATTAAGAAAAAACACGATCGTTTTTTGAAGTAAATAAGCCAAGTAGTACTCAAATACGGATTAAATTATGGAGATTTATTGACAGTTGGAGCATGTTATATGGAAAATTTAAATGGTTTGGATTTTTATAGCAAAAAACGAGTGAAAATATGTACCAGGTGTGCTCTGCACGTATTGCATGTGTATAAATAATATTATCTTTTTTTTACTGGCCAACGGGGCGACCTTCATGCAGAAAACCACTAGCCCGACCCCCGGGTATCGGTCGATTTTCATTGCAGACCTCTGATTAAAAAAAGGAACTATCAGTGCATTCATTATATTTTTTTTCACAAAAGCCCGTTTTCAATAGGTATGTGTTTATGTGGACTACAGATGTCCTTTCCTTGACTTTAAATAAATTCTACAACTGCATAATGTACGTATGAAGCATGTCAAACAATTTAGAAAAGCTTTTTTTCAATGTGGTGCAACAAAATAGTAAGACTTACTGCACTTGCTTTTTGTGTTTCCGAATTTCCTCACTGCTAATACAAAGTGTCCAAACACAGCTACTTCCGTAATCTGCGCATGCGCAGTTAGTTTTAAATATATGCGCATGCTCAGGTATTCGGAACTCCTCGATTCAATTACCGAACTCCTCTAAACAGCAGATTTCTGAATGTCTGAGCGTTTTGGGCTAAGGACATGTCCAAAATTTGGACAAAGTCTTTGTGAGGTTAAATCTAATTTTAGGTTTTTCGACCTCATAGAGTAATTTTGAACGTAATTAGACCTCTTCATTATGGGGTTAACCCCACAGTACCCAAAAAACCCCACACTGCTGGAAAATACGTTAATTTTACCCCACAATGTACCTCTCGTAAGAACAGCTAGACGGACGGACGGACGCCGGACGCATTACTATCGCATAAGCTCTTCTGGTCTCTGACCAGTAGAGCTAAAAACACAATTTTCTATTAACTGATAGTCCTTTGTACACAATGGATTCTAAACACAATCACAAACACTTGCTTTGTTTATGACCACAGGCACAGGTGGCTGGTACAATGGTGACCTCGATCGGCAGCGTGGGATTAGCGCGTTGTGGGTTGTTTAGCTGTAAACATCTAGGTGAACATGGAGATCGTAAAATGTATACAGCTAATAATCGTGAATTATTCGATGCATAAGGTTTAAAATTACTTATATAGTTTGTTATAATAATGAACGTAGAAAGATAGATTTAATATCTTCCGTTTATGAAGACGTGTTAACTTATAAAACTAATAAAATAAAAAAAGAAAGACTAGTTGTAATAAATTAAGTGAACCATAAAGCACGTTTTAAACCCATTTTAGAAGAAAATTAACATTAAATATCGTAGGGTATATTATTGATAGGAATATTGTTTAAGTTATACACATGAATAGGTATGATTTCCTTGTCGAATGAAAAACGCTACCTGTTTACCTGGCCTGCTTTCGATTACGTATTACGCAATACCACCGGTATACTCGAACAAAACATTTTCATCATATCAAAAAGGTGTAAAAGAATAATTTTTTCGTAAGATCCAGCTCGAAATATTTACCGTTTTCGAGTTATAAAGCAAAAACTAGGGCCAGCCCCTTTTGAATAGTTTTATATGAAAGCCCCTGCAATTATGCACAACTTCTATTCTACATGTCTTAACAAAATATTTTTTAGTTTTTAAGATATATAGTTTTCAAGATATAACGGAAAATATGTCAAATTTTTTTATTGTTTTCCGCGTTCTAATTTTTGATCCCTCTCTAGCGCCATTTTTAATGCCAAAAACAGTAAGCAAAATCCGAAGTGCACAACTTCAGTGCTTTTGAAATTTGAACAAAATCCGTTCAGGAATGAGAAAGATATGAAGCGCCAAAGTTGGCGTCTAGGAAGAAAAAAAAAAAAAAAAAAAAAAAAAAAAATAAGAATAATCTTAATATCATCAGAATCAGTAAAAGGTCTTCCGTTGGAAACGGTAGGCCTTAATTATAAAATATATGGCGACATTAATATAGAAACCTGGTTGAAAACATTTTTACTGAACATTTTAGTGGCGTTTTATGGGTAACAGTACAAAATTATTTCATTGGTTAAATTTTAAACTTTCCTGTTCAGGTTTGTATAAATATAAAGTAGCTATGTTCAAGAAACAATAAATCCCAGACACGCTTCCGTTAAGACAACAGCACGAAAGTTAAACCATGGCAATGGTGATGGCAGCGTTCATCATTTCTGGATTCTTATGTACCAGTTCCCAGCACATTTATGTGGAAGAAAACAATCTCTGTGACAGAAATGAAGAGGCAATGATGCTTATTCGAAAACTTTTGATCCAACAAGGGTGGATCCAAGAATCTTTAGATTCCCTCAGACAGACGTTGAAAAGACTCGAGAAAAATATAACCAGTATCCGTGAAGATGTTCAAATCGTCAAGAGAGGTAAATCTTTATCTATCTATCAATTGTGGTTTGTGTATTCATTGATTTGATTATTACAATGTTATTATATATATTTTTAAATAAAATTAATTAAAAAATCACATCCATCCCAAACATTTTTTTGTAAAGAAAAAATATGTTCTGAACTGATTCTACTTGTCTAGTAAGTGAAATAGGGGTAACATTAATAGAGTATGTAACCATCTATAAGCGCTTTGCGCTGTGCTCTGAGCCTTAAATTGAAAATAGTATCCATTTTCACGTTGGATGCACATGCCAAGAAATTTCGTCCGGTTTACGCACTGATGAAGTCAATAAAAGTGTAATTGATGCATATCACCCATATTCCCCAAACGCTAGCAAGACAATTTACGGCAGCAGATTTCGATTTTAAGGGGGGGGGGGGGGGTCATAGGTTTTCAGCTTAAATAAACTTGATATATTCCACCATTTATTTCTATCAGTGACATTTTTACATTAAAATGAAAATATTAACATAGCCAATCAGGTTGCGTCACACCGATAATTGTTTTCACTATAAAATTCCATATAGAATAAAAAGTCGTAAAAAAAATCTGGTATTTGTTTACTTGAAAAAATATCTAGCAGGAGGTGTTAAACATTACCTGTCACACTAGCTGACACATTCTCACATACAAAACGGTACCTACACGGCATTTTCTGACTTTTTCCATCTGCAAACAGGGCTACCCTCAAATCCACGTGTTTTCAATGTGTTTATAAACATTCCGAGTGTACTGCAGGAAGTAGCATCCTATTCCCGGGAAAAAAATAGTTCCTGTCAAAAACCTTTATTTGTTCAAAAGTACATAAAATTTACTAAGCATAGGTACCAAAGTTGAAAAAATGGCTCGTAAGAGAATAGAAAAACGTCTCAAAAGAAAGGAAAATCAATTTTATATGTATGGACTTACATTTGATAAGTTCATTTTGATTGGTCAATTACCGGTGTGATACCTCTACCAATTGAGTACTCCTCTCCCCTCTTGTTTCACCAGGAAACTTCCGGGAATATGGTACCCTTTTCCCCATAATTCGACGCGCGGTACTTCCACAACTACCAAGTTCATCGTACCCGACGTTAATTTATGCTCAGGAAAAAAAAACTACATGGAAATACGTAAAAAATTGAAAGACAGCATAATTCTACTGACAAATTAGTTTACTATAATTAATAATTTTTAACTTTCTTTTATTTTAATTTACTTTTTTTTTTGACAGTATTTGAAAAATATGACCCCCCAAAAAAAGGAGGGGTGCAAAGGCTTCTAAATAATTAGTTTTGTACCTATGTTTTAAACCCAGTAAAACTTAAGATCCCTCCCTCATAACTGCTGACATTAATTGCCTCGCCAAAATCTCTCGGGGGAGTTTCACAGATTAACGTTAATTCGGCTTTTATTGAGTCCGCTCTTCGGACAGACTGCTAAGGTTTTCTTGGCATGGTGAAAGATCTCAACCCCCCTTTTCTGTTTGTATAAATTCCATTGCTAATGCATCAAATTCTTTTGATATAATATATTTAAACATAAAATGACTTATACCGGTAATAATTTTGATTTAATGAACCGGGCGAAATGTCTGAAATCTGCAGAATATACAGATAAAAGTAACACTCTCAAATATTATTTATGCAAAAGTAATTAAATTTAAATATTTGAAAAAAAAATACTTAAACAGCAAAATTCAAATCACGACAAGGCCAAATATCTTTATATGTATCTCTCACAACTTTTCTGGCTGATTTTTTCTGACCGTGTGAGGTAGAGGGGATGTTTTTGTTTTTCACATAGTGTTAAAAAATTTTCGGGGGAAGAGGCAGTACCAAAATATCTTGAAGATCGAATCCCTCTACAATTGGAAGCCCTATTAAGACAAATCATTACTTCACGCGAGTTGGGGGAAGCGATGGTGTGATTAAAGAGCATCGTTTCTCCGGACGCATAACATAAGTTGACAAAATATATTAAGATAACTGTTTACAGTAGGTGGATTGTCATGTTGTTTTGGTAAACGTATTGCATAATCTTTTTGTCCTTCTGCATCCTGTTTTGTGAAAACTTTTATTGTTATATGGTGTATAATAGGAGGTTTATGATTGGACGTAGCACCACCTTTTTCAAGTATGTTATTACCTCATTAATATGTTTAAAAAAGATCTCTGTTTTTAATTTTTATCATTTTCAAAATAAGTGGCATTATTCATTCTTTACCAACTGCTTGATACTGATGCAAACCACAAAATGTGTTCTATACGGAAGCGTATTAGTGCCTGCCACGTAACTTCTTTTTTGTATCTGAAGAGAAAACTTTCCATCCGGTGTGGGAAAATACACACCGGTAATTGTTTTCACTAGATAATTCTATATAGAAAAAAAATCGTAAAAAAAAAAATCAGGTATTTGTTCACATGAAAAAATATTTAGCAGGAGCTAGGTGTTAAACATTACCTGTCCCATTAGCTGACTCCATGAAGAGGGTACCTACATGGCATTTCTGATTTTTTCCATCTGCAAACAGGGCTACCATCAAATCTACGTGTTTTTATGCGCCCGGATCGAAAGATCCGAGGCGTATATTGTTTTTTTGTCCTGTCTGTCTGTCTGTCTGTTTGTCTGTTTGTCTGTTTGTCTGCAAACTTTAACCTTCGCCATAACTTTTGAACCATGAATGATAGAGACTCCATATTTGGTATGCTTAATCTACTAATGAAGCTCTTTCAAATGACACCAAGGTCAATGACCTTGTGACCTTGACTGTGACCTATATGCTAAAAGTAGAGGTTTTATTGCAAACTTTAACCTTCGCCATAACTTTTGAACCATAAAAGATAGAGACTTAATATTTGACATGCATACTCCACTAATAAAGCTCTTTCAAACGACACCAAGGTTAATGACCTTGTGACCTTGACTGTGTCTTAAATTCTAAAAATAGCTTTTTTGAACATTCACCATAACTTTTGAGCCATGGAAGATAGAGACTTCATATTTGGTCTGCGTACATCACTAATCAAGATCTTTTAAATGACACCAAGGTCAATGACCTTGTGACCTTGACTGTGTCATATGCTAAAAATAGCTTTTTTGAACCTTCACTATAACTTTTGAACCATTAAAGATAGAGACTTCATATTTGGTATGCATACATCACTAATCAAGTTCTTTCAAATGACACCAAGAACAATGACCTTGTGACCTTGACTGTGTCATATGCTAAAAATAGCTTTTTTGAACCTTCACTATAACTTTTGAACCATGAAAGATAGAGACTTCATATTTGGTATGCATACATCACTAATCAAGATCTTTTAAATGACACCAAGGTCAATGACCTTGTGACCTTGACTGTGTCATATGCTAAAAATAGCTTTTTTGAACCTTCACTATAACTTTTGAACCATGAAAGATAGAGACTTCATATTTGGTATGCATACATCACTAATCAAGATCTTTCAAAAGACACCAAGATAATGACCTTGTGACCTTGACTGTGTCATATGCTAAAATTAGCTTTTTTGAACCTTCGCTATAACTTTTGAACCATGGAAGATAGAGACTTCATTTTTGGTATGCATACATCACAAATCAAGATCTTTCAAATGACATCAAGATCAATGGACTTGTGACCTTCACTGTGACCTTTATGCTAAGAATATGGTTTTTTAATTTTTTGCCGCCGGGCGCATAGTGTTTCACAAACACATCTTGTTAATTTGTTTATAAACACCTCGAGTTCACCACAGGAAGTAGCCTCCTATGTTCTGAAAATAGTTCCTGTCAAAAAACTATATATTCTCAAAGTACATAAAATTTACTAGGCACAGGTACATGTACCAAAGTTGTAAAAATGGCTTGGAAGAAAATAGAAGAAAAAAAGTCTCAAAAGAAAGGAAAATCAATTTTACATGTATGGACCTACATTTGAAGTTCATTTTAATTGGTCAATTACCGGTGTGATACCTTGAAATGTTTTACGTCGATGCCAAAAAATAACTGATGGCCTGCGGTGTTTATTTTTTCTGAAATGCTGAGTTAACAGACAATGCTTGCAACAATAGTACGCTTAAAAAGCCATTCTTTCATGCCCAAGGACTCACGTTTAAACACCCCCACCTGTTTGTTTTTTACCTTTTGAGTAATCTCATTTAGTACAACTTTTTTTTTTCTTGTTTGCATTTTATATTTTTGCTTATTTTTGAAATGCTAAAAAAACCCAAACAAACAAACAAACAAAACAAAAACAAAAAAAGTTTTTCTCCGTGTTTAAAATAAAACATAATTATACGAGACGTTAAATCGAGACAATGTCATATTTTGATTTTTTTTTTATAAATATTGACTTAGTGTTAAAGATATATGACTCTGTAAACATAGAAGACTAGTGGGTGAATGTGACTATAAATATAAGACAGGACATAGGCTCACTTGGAGAAATTCAACTGTATATTTTTTAATAATTGATTTTATTATGTGAAACATAACTCAATTCAAACTTTTATAAAATTCATTTTATGAATGATTTTCATATATTCTTTATACATAAGTACTGTGTTTGATTTTAAGAAGATTTCATACTGTCTTTTCAGTATTATTTACTAACAATATCTTCTCTTCTGCGTCGCGAATTGGTATGAGCCTCTGGTCTAGAGTAGCGAAGTATAAAGAGTTAAGAGGACCTGGATACCCGACTTCCGGATGTGAACGTATAAAAAAGAGGTCCCCTGTCGCTGTAGGTGTTGGCACAAAAAAGTCCTCACTGCTCAATGACGCTTAGTGCCGAGTATGGGACATTCTTTGTAACTCTCAACCTGCAATTTTCCAGAAGGACGTTAGACAACATACAATTAATTAATTTATTTTCTCTTCTTCGATATAAAAACGTCTAGCGCAATGCCGTATTGAAAGATCTGAATACAATTTTTGTCAGCACGTGAACAGAGAGATGGACAGACGCCGATCAAGGGGGGAATCGGAAAA